TAATGATAAAATCTTTAAAGCAGCCAGAGGAAAGACCCATTAAGTTTATAGGAACAAAGAGTAAGCATAATGTTCTCATTAGAAACTATGTGAGCCAGAGGACAATAGGATGACAAGTGTCACCTTTTTAGAAAGGCCCTCCCAGGTTCTCCTGGCCTACATCAAACCCTCCCCTTCCGGAAATGTTCTATATTCCGTTTTTGTTTTTTTCCCATGACTGAATCATTAACTGACTCGTGGATTCTCTCCCCTTTACAATGTAAGCTCCCAGAGGGCAGGATCTTTATTTTGTACACAGCTTTTTTTTATCCCCAGTGCTTAGAAGTGTGCCTGGTATTTAGCAGGTGCTCAAGAAATACAAATCAAGAAGAGGAAAAGAGCAGGGGGAACAGAGGAGGTAAAGCTGGAGAGTGGGAGAATTTGGAGGACATGCTATTGAACTTGAGCTTCATCCTGTGGGTGGAGATTTTTACACAGAGGAGTGTTAATATTCTATTTGCGTTGTAGATAAATTACTCTGGCATCCTCTTGTGCCAGAGAGTTTTAAAAAGGGTGAGTTTGAGATCAGGTAAAAGGTAAGAGATGGTGCAGACCCATTGTAGGGTTCCAGCAGCGAGAATGAGCCAGATCTAGAAAGCTCTGAGGTGGCAGAGCAAATAGGATTTGGTGACCACTTAAATGTAAGGAGTGAAGGGAGAAGTTTTGACATGTGTGACTGGGTAGATAAGGAATGCAGGAAGCAAAATAGGTATCAGAGAACAGAGATGAGGTATTAGTTATTTGTTGCTGACAAATAACTAGCTTAAACTCAGTGCTCAGTTTCATACTTCCTGTGGGTCAAGAGTCTAGGCAGAGTGGATTTGCCACAGATTCCAAGTCTCTTACAAGGCTACCACTCACAGGTTGGCCAGGGACGCCGTCACACCAACGCCAGACTAGTTGACAGGTTCTCCTCTGAGTTCACTCACAATGCAGGCCTCAGGTACCCCCTGGCAGGGGGTGGGAGAGGACAGTTCCTTGCCATCTGGATCTTTCCACAGAGTAACTCACCCCCTCAGAGTATGAAACACCCTGGATGGAAGCCACAGGCTTTTTTGGTAACTTAATATTAGAAGAGACCGCCCAGTATTTCTGTCCTACTGTCTGTTAGAAACCAGTTAGTAAACACAGCCACACTCCCGTGGGTGGTTACTGAGTGATGGGGCAGGGGAAGACATAAAAGCATGGGTCTCAATGGGACCATGTTAGAGACTGCTGGCCACAGAGAGTGGTTTGAATTTGAGGAGCTGAGACCTCTCAGCTGGTAATATCTGGATGCATCTGGAAGACTATGTACCATTGGACTCAGAATGTAACTTGGAGATTTTGAATGGATTTAGAAAATAATGGCTCAGAGCCCTTTCTCCCGAACTTCAAACCACAATTTGAAGCTTCTAGAGGTAAACAGGGAAGGACAGATTGCTTTTGATGTGTGTGTGTTGGTACTGGGGTTTGAACTTCAGTCCTTATGCTCTTCTTCCATTCACTGGTGTTCTACCACTTGAGCCACACTTCTACTTATGGATTTTTTTTTCTGGTTAAATGAAGATAAGAGTGTTGAGAATGTGTCTGCCTGGGCCGGCTTCAAGCCATGATCCTTAGATCTGACCCTCCTGAGTAGCTAAGTTTATAGGTGTAACCCTGTAGAAAGGTATTTTTTTAATCCCCCAGGATGCAATGCAGGTAGGCAGGGGATTACTCAGAGAGGCCGAGTACCATAGAATTGAAAATTCTGCTCTTCTACTGACTGTTGGAGAAACTTAGAGAGAGAGGCCTTCTCCTAAACTACAGGTTTCTGGTCTGACTAAGGTGGGGATTAGATTAAGTTGTGAGGGGTTTTTTTTGGGGAGGCGAGAGTATTGGAGGGGAAGTAAGGTTTTGTTCAGTATATAAAGATAGTTAAAAGTTGAACTGATCTAGCTAGCTTCTTCCTTGCTTCACCAGAAAAGAACCTCATTTTGAAAATCAGTAGACAAAGTAAATTGCTGATTTTTTCCCCTAATTTGGACATTCTGGGATTTTATGACAAGATAACTCTAGTTTTGCCCTGTTTTTGTTGATTTGTTTTGTTTGGGGTTGGTTATAGGGCTTGAACTCAGGGCCTGGGCACTGTCCCTAAGCTTTTCTGCTTAAGGCTAGCACTCAAATACTTTGAGCGACAGCTCTACTTCTGGTTTTCTGGTAGTTAATTGAAGATAACTTTCCTGCCTGGGCTAGCTTCACAGTGCAATCCTCAGATCTCAGCCTCCTGAGTAGCTAGGATTACAAGTATGAGCCACTAACACCTAGCTCTAATTTTGCTTATTGAGATCTGTTGGCACTGGAATACTTTATTGAGATTTTGAGAGGAAAATAATTCATATTTCCTTGAACTTGTGAACAAATGTAATAATGCTGACCCTTCCTGAAATACCTGCTATGTGTCAAGCACTATGTCAAATAAACATTGTCCATTGCAAGGCCTCTGTTGGATCTTGTCAGTCTTGCTGGAGTGTGCACTCCAAAAGAGTAGGCGCTTTGTTTAATGGACTGTGACCTTGCCAGCAGCCAGCATGGACCTCCTGGGCCTTAGGAAGAATTCAGTACATATTCTTGCTAATGAATCGAGGTTTAGCAAACATTATCCACATGCTCATTTTACAAATGCCGAGGCTGGGGCTTAGAGCATCCAACTCACTTGCTCAGTCCACACGTTAAAGGAAGAACCAGAATACAGATAATTCCTGTGACTCCTGTGACGCACACAGCCATCACTTCTTGTTGGTGGAAATGGTAGGAAAACAGAAAGGGAACAACACACACATTGGTTACCTTCTACATGATGAATGGATTCCTAAGATACTACTTTGCATGCTCGTTACCAGTGCTCCTGCAAGGCAGCAACATGATGCTCATCTTTCAGATCAGATAACTGAGGCTCAGAACGGCTAGGAAACCCTCCCTAAAATCATCCAGCCTAGTTCGAGATACTGAGCACAGATTTTTCTGACTTAAACCACTCCTGTGCAAGACCCAACCCATTTTTAAAAAATTGCCAAAGTCTAGATTCTGGAAAATAGGACATTGGTAGATATGGGCCAGTATGGTGGAGAAGATTTTACTACTTCCTTTTCCATCTCCCAGCATTCCTATACTTCTGGCCTCAAATCCACTGAACATGGAACTGAGAAGCATCCTCCAGGCTCAGAAAGTCAAGGCTTAAACACTAAGATGTAGCACAAAGTAAGAGTGGATGACTGAGAATGATAAAACGTTGGCACCGTGGCCTGCCATTCTCTGTATCCTCATCAACATCACATGTCACAAGGCCAGGTCTGAAGTTAGACTGATGATGTCACGAGAGTCTCTTAAAGGGCTCATCACTCAAATCCACTTGTCATATATTATTAAGCAGATCTATAATACATGTAACATTTCCCACTGAATTTCTATTCCTTCCTTTCCATGACTAGGGAAAGAAAAATAGTGTGAAGATGACTTTTTCCCATCTTTACTGCCCTTCATTGAAACATAACTTCGTCTCAGATTATTTCCCCAAATGGTCATTCGGGCTTTGATTTCATTAATATAGATGAACTTACAGTTTAATAATTATCATTTAACTAATGCATATTCTATATAGACAAGTAAATGGATTCCCCTCATCTTTTCTTCTGAAGTCCACAGAGAAAGGGGAGTCTACAACCTTATCTTGTCTTTTTCCCCCCCTTTTATCCTCCATATTATTTCTCGAGACTTTGGGGGTTGTATCAATTATGTTAGAAACTTTCCACGTTATCACTTCTCTAGAGATAATGAAAGTCCTTCCAAAACTCTGAAGTCCTTGCAGTCTGAATCTGAATCTCATTAGAAGCAGCCATCTCAAGGATGTAAATTCTCCAGGTGAAGGGCTGTTGAAGGCAAAGAGAGCAAGAGACCCACGGTGGCTAGTCCAATAGAAGGACTTGTAAGGAGTTAAAAGCAACCTAGAGTGACTGAAAGGCAAAGCCTTGCCTGAGGCAAGCCACATTCTGAACTTGAACACGGGCACTCAACAAACTGGTACAAGTGCAGGCCTTGAATGCAGGGCCAGCATTGCAGGTGTGTGGCCTGAGGATTCATCCCACAGAACCCTGTATGTGGACGTCCATGTCACCCTCACTCAATTAGCTGTCCATTTCCAACAAGGAGCCTAGCTTTGTGTCTTGTATACTGGTGGTAACTCAAGTGATCAGACTTGCTTGGGTATGAAAGCCAGCTCTGGCACTGACTAGGTAGGCAGTGAGGTGGAAGCCCATAGGACTATTTTAGGTTTCTATAAGTTGGAAGTCATCGTCCTTCCTCCAAAGACACCCTAATGAGGATTAAATGAGATTATGAATCATTACTGCATCATACAGTCCTTGTTGCCTAGTAAGCACCTATTAAATATTCACTGTTCTAAACCAAGAGGGTATATCACAAGCACATAAAGATTTGTTGTTTGACTTAATGGATGGAGGTTAGGATATGCATTGGGTTTGAACGAATTCCTTCTGTGATACTAATATATACTCCAGGTTAAGAAAAAGCAGGCTATGGTTTTCAGAGATCTAGCTTAAAAGAACTTAATAGAAAAGGGCAGTAGAAAAAAAACAAGGAGGAATTGATGGACTACTACGAATCCTTAACATAATAAAAAGCCTGTTAAAGAGGAAAGAGGTCATCATTTTATAGCACTTGGGATGACACAGATAGTGCTGAAATGCACTATGGGAACACATCCCATTACCAAGGTTTCTATAAAATTTTCTGCTATTCATTTGTTCTGACAAGTACACCCAGAGGAACAGAGGCCATGGAGGAGAACAGCCAGGGTCAAGGCCAAGGTTAGGGACCGAGTTTGGATTTATTTTCCCCTTAATGACCCTAATACTATACTGGGTTCCTGAAAAGATAGCGTGCCAGAGGGACTAATATTGAATTATGTTTATTCTTCCAAGATTCTAGGCTTTGACATTCTTCTGATGAAAAACCTGAAGCCTATGCTACTTGAAGTAAACGCAAATCCCAGCATGAGAATTGAACATGAGCACGAAGTAAGTATTTGGAGCACCTCATTGATTATATTGCTAGAAATCCAAGTGTGCCTGCTCTCGAGGTATCCATGCTAAGATTCAACATTCTCAAATTTTTACAGCCAAGTTTTCTTTAAGTCAAATAATTTTAGTTGATCTGTTGAGCTCTGAACAGAGTTATTAATATAAGACCTTTCCGACCTATGATAATTTCCCAGCATGCCGTTCTTCCCATTTTTAAGGTCTGGAAACTTAGAAGCAGCTGAGCCTTTCCATCAGCTTTGACATGAACTAATTAGTTAGCCTCAGGAGATGAACTAATTGAAATTCTATGAATATGATTTAGCCATGTCGACATACTTGAATCACTAAGATAAATAGTACATTTAACAGGGATTATATTTTCCCCTACTCCATCCCAAAAAGAATGCTCAAAAAAAAAAAAACTGTAAGGAAATAAACCACCCAATTTGTCATAGGTTTCAGAATGATTCTCTGGATTCTTTTGCTTTTCTTATCCCATTTCTGTATTTATGAATTTTTTGTGTGTACATTTTGTGTGTATGTGTGTGATTTGTGTATGTGTGTGTGCGCGCGTGTGTGTGTGTGTGTGTGTGTGTGTGTGTGTGTGTGTGTGTGTACTGGGGCTTGAATTCAAGGCCTGAGTGCTGTCCCTTAGGTTTTTTTGCTTAAGGATAAGGTCTACTACTTGAGCTTTTTGGTGGTTATTTGGAGCTAAGAATCTCACAGACTTTCCTACCCAGGCTGGCTTTGAACCGTGATCCTCAGATCTCAGCCTCCTGAGTAGCTGGGGTTACAGACATGAGCCACTGTCACCCAGCTTGTAGTTCCAAATTTTGATAATCCCAAAACATGGTGCTGCTATTTTTCCTTCATGTATTTTGTGAATTCCCAAGAGGAAATGAATAGTGTTCAGGCAGCATTTAAAAACCCGCTTCTATAGACCAGCACAGACAAAAAGTGATGCTGCCACCACTTGAACTAGTTGGAGGTGGCCCATTGATTGCTATGGCCTGACTATAACACAGAGCCCTTACCCATTCAAGCTTTCTCCAGGGGTGTTTGAAAATGTCCCCAGCCTGGTGGATGAAGAGGTGAAAGTGGCTGTCATCAGAGACACTCTGCGCCTCATGGACCCACTGAAGAAGAAAAGAGAGACCCAGTGAGTTTGTTTTTTTTTTTACATCATTCATTGCTGTCAACTTGACTTATTTTAAGCAGGTGAGTTCAATTTCTCAGAATCTATTGACATGTAAGATTGACTCAAAATTGGGAGTTAATCTGACAATTGGGGTTCTGTGACAAATTCTTGCACTGATCGTTCCCCAAATCTGGCATCTTCTGAGCTTCCAGTCTGCTCTCTGCTTGTCCACTCCTGGTCACATGATGCTTCTCTTTGAAATCCGCAAGCAAGGAAGCGTAAAGGAAAATGCAAGCAGCCACAGATGGCTGGCCATACAAAGAATTGCCTCCATTTTATTTTCTTTAGGATATTTATGCTCTTGCAGTAGAAGCTTTTCATTTCAATGTTTGCAGCGCCAAGTGCAATGATCTTCTAACATCTCTCGTCATATATACAGCAGTTAACAATTCTCCATCCCCAGCCACCCAGTGGGGACATCGGGATATTGGCATGCACGTGTCCCTGCCTGTCTCTCCACTGAGTCACCCCAGAAATGGATGACATTTCACTTGGCTATTTTGTTTGTTCCTTTTTTTTTTTTTTTTTTTTTTTACCAAGTTCTAGGCTCTTATAAAGTAAGGGTTTAGTAAATATCATCTGCTTATGTTTCAAGCAGAGCCACCAAAGACAGGCATTTCAAATAGTACTTCTCATACCCACTGACAAATCAGATTGACCCAAATGCACTCAGACATTTAAGCACTTGCCAGCTAGGGCTCAAGACTGGGCGGAATGCTAACTTCCCCAAGTAAGTGATGTGTTCAGCTCATCTGTGAAGGCTTCTCACCAATTGGATTCAAGCCCAAATACTAGTACACTCCCTTTACAGGAGTGCTGCTCACACTTGGCATATGCCATCATAGTAGAACCACCTGTGGAGCTTTCAAAACTCCCAGTACCAGCCAGGTGACGGTGGCTCACGCCTGTAATCCTAACTACTCAGGGGGGTGAGATCTGAGGATCTCAGTTCAAAGCCAGCCCAGGCAGGAAAGTCTGTGAGACTCTTATCTCCAATGAACCACCAGAAAACCAGAAGTGGTGCTGTGGTTCAAACGGTAGAGTACTCGCCTTAACATGAAGAGCTCAGGGACAGAGCCCAGGACCCTGAGTTCAAGGCCCATGACTGACCAAAAAATAAAAAAAGTCCCAGTACCAGGCCTCTGCTTTTAGAGAGGTTGATTTGAATTAGCCTGAGCTAGAAGTAGCCGCAGACATTTTTAGGCTTCTTGAGTGCTCGTATTGTGCAGCCAAGGCCGAGCACCATTGCCTTTGTAGGATTTCTCATCTCCTCAGGTGGGTTGGGTGGCACCTGCTCAACTGAGTTCTCCCCTACAGTGCTGAGGCACAGGTGGCCCAATGTTGGCTTGATCCTATCAAGAATGTCCACCTGCGGTATGTGTGGACCTGTCCTGCAGACCGGCTTCCCAAGGATAGGTGCTTCAAAGTGGCAATGTGCCAGGGCTACAAAGCCTCTGAACCAAATGAGATGTAGGCAAATAATGGATCCACTAGTAAAAGCATGCAGCTGTTTTCTTTATCTCTCAGGAAAAGTTGTGCTTACAATGTAATTTGTTTAGATTAACCAAAATAAATCTCATTCCTTAGAAAACTCTATCCTTTAATAGTGACTGATCTCATCAGCAGAGATGAGGTACCGGGGGATGGTCTAAACTGTATAGAGACATGAGTAGCTTTTGGTAACAGCATGGCATGGGAGTTCAGTCTATTTTAGGATGGCTGCGACCTCTGGGAAGAAGTGCATAATCTATTAAGAAGGTCATGGCCCAGGGGAAGAAGTTCATAACCCATTAAGAAAGGTCAGACCTTCTTAATCTCTGAATAGAATGAATAGATGGAAAGGTTCCACTGTATTTCACATTGAACAGCATTGAAACAAACTTAGCTTTCTTTTTCTTGTTTTAGTTGTTTTCTTCCCCCCCACCAACACCTGTACAGTCCATAGGAGCTTCAGATTTGAAATTTAGTAGTAATGGGGAAGAGAACCATTGATTGGGAAGGATGAAAAAGGCATTTTATAACTTATCAAGTCATAAGTAGCAGCATCTCATTTTTAATTTAAAAAGCATTGATTTTTTTATTGATATCTTGGAACAGTTAGAACTTCAAGAACCTGACTTCAATTCTAATAGAGAAAGCGTTTCATCTCTCTCTTTTCCTATCTACAGTGTAAGGGTGGGTGTTAATAGCTAACTGCCGCTTACGGATATTCTTCCTTAATTTCACTGTTTAATTTTATTTTGTAAGCGAGCAATGAATATCTATGGAAGCACATTGTAATCTTTAAAGGGCATCTAGATATAAGAAATGCTTGTTTTCCTTTTCAGAAGTTTACCATGCAGAAAAGACAAGCTCTTTGTCTAGAAATATGTCAGGATAACTTGTAATAGCACTTGGTTTACGTCACCAGAAAACACACAGTTCCTAGTGCTGAATCCTGGCAGTCTATTTCTGAGACCGTCAGCCCAGCTGTATTAACTATAGTTTATTCTCCCCCCTCTTCTTCCTTCCTCTCTATTTCTCCCTTTCTTCCTCTTTTCTCCCTCTCCCCCTCTCCTCTTCTCCTTATTCCTCTCTTCCCTTCCCTCCCTTCCTCCCTTTCCTTTCCTCTAACAAGGTCTGACCTATGTGAACCAGGTTAGCCTTGATTTATGATCCTCCTTTCTCAACACTGAGTGCTGGGATTACAGACATGCCCCACCCAATCCAGCTTTAGAAGCAATGTCTTGTGTTTGCATAGTCTCTGACCTGAACCTTTGGGGGGGAAATGGAATCTATCACCTTCCCCTTCAATTTATTCGCATAAATCCTTTCTTGGAGGCTCTTTATCATGAAGACTATTGAAGTGGGGCTTCAGTTGCCCCCTACATGCTGAAGAAGAAGGCAGGTAACCTGAGCTCCTCAGGTCCGTGGCTGCTCCAGAAAGGTGCAGAGGAAATGGAAGGATGCCAGACTCGGCACCAGCCAGGGCTGGGTGAAGTCCTTCATCTGGGACCATCATGTTAAGAGCTTGGCTAAGTCTATTTGTTCTCTGATCTGGTCTGTAAAGTGGAAATGGAGACGTCTCTGTGGTTGAGTTGTCATGGTATTGCCATGAAATGACAAGTGAGAAAGCCCTGTGAGCCATTTTACTGGTATTGACATCCTGAATGTAGATATTTCTGGCAACTTTTCTCCTTTCTTAGGAATCTTGGCACTTCAGGACCCCCAAGTAATATCATGGAAGGTAGAGGTAGGCTAGGGAGCTCTGAGGGGATTTTACTGATATCACGTTGTCTGTCTGTGTCTAAGAGCTTGGTTATAGTCTGTTTACCTCTTATTCAGAAACTGTTTTACCTCTGTTCAGAAACTGACTTAACATGTTCATATAACTACTTATATGATTCATATGTACATAGGAGTCATATATTTATATATGGCCCAGAAGCCTCTTTTCCCTCAGTAACATTGCATAGTACTCTTGCTATGTTGTTTACCTTATAACAACTGAAAGAGATGAGTCAGCTGCCAGAACAGTTGTGGTCCTAATCAGAGATGCCTGTCCACTAAATATTTTACTGAGAACTCTAGCTTCACTTCTGACCTTGACTCCAAATGTCTCTCTTTAATTCTGCACCATGCTTAGAACCAATAGATGAATCCTCTAGCTTCTATATAGAATCTAGAATGAAGATGAAACATTCTAAGAGAATGAAGAACAATCTCCTAAGAGCTCTCAGTTTCAGGGCTTGATTGTATGCCCAACCAAGGTGTCTTTTTACAATCTTAGAAGTTCTCTGTACTGGGTGGGAACTTATTTCAAGTGCTAAAGTATGTGCCTAGCAAGGATGAGAGTCTGTGTTCAAATTCCAGTACCATTAAGCAAAATTAAGCTGGGTGTGTTGACATAACCCGAGCTGCTTGGGAAGCAGCAATCAAGAAGATTGAGGTCAGCTTGGGCACAAAATAAGACCCCATCTCACCAAATGAAAGCTGAGCTCAGTGGCACTTGCATAAATAGGAGGGTCATGATCTAGGCCCACCCAGGCAAAAAGTGAGACCTTGTTCAAAAAAAATAATAAAACCAAATGGGCTGGAGGCATGGATCAGTAGTAGAGTGCACACCTAGCAATTAGAAGACCCTGGGGGGGGAGGGCTCCAAAAAAAAAAAGAAATCCCTCTAAGCTTAGCCCCGCTACTTGATGGGGTCATGTGTGTTACTGAGATTCCCTCAATGATAGTTGTCTTCATAGACAACTATAGTTCACGAAGATGGATGAGAAGATGCATTCCAGTCTACACTAAAGCATGCCCTCACCTATAAAGGTCTTTACCTTTCTGACAGACCCATCTTTCTTCTGGAAACAGACTCTTGCCAAAGAATCATCTGACTATTGTGTTGAATGGCCCATCCTTGTGTCCGTGGCTGACCTTCGGTTGAAATTCTAAGATAAATCCCCTGATACCAAAGGATTCCTTTGTGGCCAGACTCTATAGATCAGTTCAGAACACCTCAAGCACCTTGAAGATTTCACATAAATAAGTTTGGGTCACAGAGAGGTGGCTCTTTTCATATTCATTTGCATCTCATTTGCATTATGTGTGGATTACAAAAATAAGAACTCATTCATTTTGAGTATTTATTGAGCACTTACTGTGTTCCAAGGGAAGCCCACAGAAGCAAATTAACTCACAGGCCATAAGAGGAGGCAAGACCCACATATGAGTATATATAAGGTGACAAGTACTAAGTACTATAAACACAAAGACAAATTGTCAAGGGAGGAAAGTGTAGGAAGAGATTATTTCCTGATGTGAAGCATTTTTTTTTAACTGAAGAAAGGTGGCAGTACAGCTGGGGTTTAAAGGACAAGTAGGATTTGAGTTACGAAGAGAAAGCACACCTGTGCTGGAAGAAGCAAAAGCCACAAGCTCTGTGCAGAACCTGGAGTGTTCCCATAGGCTGGAGAGACAGGTGTATG